ACCTCCTTTAGCCACACATTACCATGCCATGCATAATACACATCACCACATGCATCAAAATAGAAGATTCTTTAAGTGTAAAGCTTGAGAGAGAGAGAGAGAGAGAGAGAGAGAGAGAGAGAGAGAGAGAGAGAGAGAGAGAGAGAGAGAGATCTCAGTCATTCACGTTGGTTTTGCTTTTTAACAAAACCTTAAACAAACTTTCACAAGCTTTAATTAAGCTTCACTCCCTAATCAGCTCATAATCATTCATATAAAATCTTTTTTCCCTCTAACAGAAATCAGTTACAACCATCACCATTTTTTCATCTTTCTCAGATCTACTTTCTCCCTCTTGATAAGTGAAAATTATAGTTATTTTTGTATATACTTTTTGTTGCACTTATTGACTCTTGGTTGTTAATATCAGTTGAATAACCCAACTTTGTGTATAAATACGTTTAGTTTGTGTATAATGCTTTTTCGTGTATAAAGTGTATCGTTTGATAGTTTTGTATTCATTTTATAGGTATTTGAGCATTGTTGGAGCAAGAGGAATAAAGCTCAAAGATGCATTTTTAATCAATGAAGAATAAAGTGAAAGATGAAGCCATTCCAAGTTATGTAGTAAAAGCAACAAAAGTTGCTGAACTGTCTTGCATCGCCGGGCAAAATTTCCGTCGTCGGGCGACAGTGGGCGAGAAAAGCCATTTTTAATGTTGCCTCTGCCTTGCTTCGTTGTTGTGTCTCCAAGCAAGGAATAAAGGTGTCGTCGGGCAAAGCTTTCTATTGTCAAGCGATGGAGGATATTTTTGACCTGTTGAGGTTGTGGCAAAACCTGGGCCAAGTGTATAAGAGTCGTCGTTGGGGGACGCTTTTATGTCGTCAGGCGATTCTCACGGAACACGTTTTCTTTATACTTTCATTTTGTTTCATTTTTGGGTGGAGGGTTTTGGGGTATTTGTTCCCAAATTCCATCACCTTCATTTTTGATAGATAGAGCTTAGACAAAAACATTTGTGACTTGCAAATGGATGCTCCTAGGTCCCGAGCTTGATGGATCGTGTTTGACACTGCGGGATATTTAGTTTCTTCTCCTCTTCCTCTCTTTGTAACCATTATTTGTTGGATTTTGTATGTAACTTTACCTTAATTATATGTATATTTATTGCTCATGGTGTTGTATGAAACTTTCTTTACAAATATTTATTGATGTTTATCCTTTTTAGCTTGCTAAGTGTTTGGGTTTGAGTCGTTGTAGAGATGGACAAATTGAATTCAGACTTAGGATGAATATCTATTGGGCTTAGATTCTAGAGATATATTTAGGCTTAGTAATAACTTAGGTATCGACTCTTAATGCATCCATGTCGTTTTATGTTGTGCTGAGAGATTATCGACATGGAGCGACACGGTTGATATCTCGCTCTATATTAGAGATGACCTATGTGTGAGAGATGCATGGTTATATTGACGAGTAGTTAAGATTAAGTGTAACTGGGTAGTAAGTTTAAGTATTTGATAGGGTAGATGAAATACAAACTTGAGAGTTTTATCCTATTCGAATAATGAAATTCTTTTTGTGTGTATAACTTTTAATTTCAACACCTTACATACAAAAATCATTCTAATCCAAACTCATGAACGAGTGATTTGTCGAACGACAATTCAATAGACCAATCCCTGTGGATACGATACGGTATAACCTATATCACCCGGTAAAATAATACTTTACTTTTTGCTTTCCGCTATATGCCGCAGTAACACCTCTCATTCCCTCAAATTTGCACCATTGTATCTCCCTCATTCCTTAACCATTTCCTGAAATTTATTAATCATCATCACCACAATATAGCACAAATCTTATTGTTCACAAGAGGTTTCACCTGAGAGCATCACATGCATCACGTCATCATTCCCTCTCATGATCTTGGATCATTCAAGGTTATTTCATCAAGATTTGAATGTTGTAAGCTTGCAATCGCTATCAGCAGAGTTCATAGAAGCAAAGAGAAGAGTTTTCTTAGCTAAAGCGTATAAAGATCGCAACAAACAATTCTCCTTTGGTAAGTTTTCTTGAACTTTATTATACTTTTTCTACACTATTCTAGGATTATTCTTGTTGATTAGAAGCATGTAAACTGCATCTGAAGTCCTACCTTAGGGTAGGCATTAGTAATGTGATGTTCTGACTGATTTTCGGATTTTCGTGTTCACTTTTGTGCTCATATCTCTCCATGATTGGGTATTGTTTTGAGAAAACTAATACTAGTTTCAGATTCTATGTGAAAACCCGAGGGGAGTGGCCGTCTTTGCTTTTCGTTTTTGGCATGGCCGGCCACCGTAGACGGTGGGACTTCACCTAGGAAGGCGAATGAAGACCTAGCTCTGGTGTCCTCTTTGTCCAAATTTTATGCCCCGTCATGATAATAGGACTTAATCTCTTAGCATTTTAGTCACTTAAGTGCCACTCTATTGATGAGCGAGTTTGATGATGCATTTTAGTTGTTGATTGTTAGTTGTTGACTTAAGCCATGATATTCCTTGTGAATTACTCAATAATTTGAGACATGTTTAAGGAGATTACTTTGAGTTAGATTTTTTGGCTTACCTTGATTTTACCTTTCAAAAGTGGAATTTCCTTTGTGTCCTAAGTTGTGATAGTTTATTGATACCTAAAACCTTGACTGTTTGGGTACATTGTTGACTTGTTGGTTTGAGTTCAAAAACCCTAAGGTTGAAACCTTGTGAGCATAACCCCTAAGGATTGATATGTGTGTATAAGTGTCCCATTTTTCACATTCTTATTTCTTTGTTCAGAGCTTGAAGCATGATTAGGGTTTATCATTAATAACTTACTACTTGTTTAATTGTTGAGTTTTCACTCATAGTTTGTTATAGGATTTGTGTTGGATAATATGAAATATCTTTGAAGATGATACTTAAACTCTTGAAATGATGATTGTGTTTCTACCTTAGGACTTAAGTCTATTTGTTTGATGCTTTTTTTTTAATTTTTAATGTGAAATGCTTACTTCTTATTGGTGGTTGTTAATTCTACTTGCTAGTTGAATCAATGTTTATCTCCATAACTTGTGATGCCTTGGTGAAACAACTGACTGAATAAACCATCGAGATGAAATCAATGAAGTTACCATTGAACGTTTTTTATCCCACAGGAAGGGAAAGGTAAACATCGAGTAAACCTGAGAAGGGTAAAATCAAGGTCGAACGACCATGAGATACGGGTAAGGAGTCTTCTATACGAGGGGAAGATATTAGCACTCCCCGTAGTACTCTACGGTTTCCACTCTTGTTATTCTAATCAAAGGGTGTGTTCAAATCTAAACTTACGAGCTAAAAGAAAAATGCAAAGAGGGAATACATGCAAAAGAAAACACAGGGAAAAGAATGAAGTATTTACAAAGTTTCGCTCGACTGAGCCCTGCGACCAGATGCCTATGTATCCCTTTTAAGGAATCAGAACGTCATAGTTCAGCTCACACGTTTCAGCTTGTTTTATGTTTTTTAATGAACAATATTAATTTCACCTTCTGCCGCAACTCGACCTTTGGAGACTCACGCATCAGCACATAAGTGAATTAACATGTTCTTTTGAAAGTTTGAAAGAAAATCCCGAAGGAAAAAAAGAATTTGCATTGGTTGATGTTTTTTACCTTAAAGAAGGAGTTGAAAATTGTTGGATGTTTTATGATTTACTAAGAAAAAGGTTTTAGTTTTAAGGATACAAAAAGAAATAAAAACATCTAAGGGAAACTAGCTACAATCTAATCCCTAATGTTATCATATAATGATTGATCCTAAGGTTGAGTTTTGAAAGGGAAATCTCTACCCTGTGTTAGCATGCATGGATTACAATTCTAATGTCTATCTCGAATCACCACTAAAGGACGAATTAAGAAATCCTAAGGAAACATAGCAAAGGTTCACAACCTAAACTTACATCTATCTTGAATCACCACCAAAGGGTGAATAAAGAGCTCCTAAGGGAACATGCCAAAGGTTCACAACCTAAGAAAACATGTACACAAGGATGGAAAGCAAGTAATCAACAAGCTCAAGAGAGCACACACAAGGGAAATACCTACCTAAGTTAGCATACCTTAAACCTAATGGCTAAGATAACTATCCTATAGGAAACATGTAAAGATAAAATTCATTATCTCAATTCTAATTGAGTGGCATCATCAATCATCAACAAAGAAAAACGATAAAATCCTAAGCGGAGCATGCAAAGATCGAAGTCGTTATCTCAATTCTAATTGAGTGACACCATCGATCACCAAAAGAAAGAAGCCATGAAATCCTATGGGGAGCATGCAAAGATCGAATTTATTATCTCAATTATAACTGAGTGACATCATCGATCACCAATAAAGGAAGCAAACACAAACAGAAACACAAGTAGTAAATAAGTGCGAAATGCCTTCTAAAGGATTTTAAACAGCGACTTCGAGCGCACGCTCTTTATTTCCTACTTCTCATGATATCTAGAAAGCAGTAAGGCATGCATCTCTATTCCTACTTATCATGGCATCAGAAAATAAAATACAATGCAAAATAAGAATAAACAAAAGAAAATACCAAACAAATATCAATTCGTAGCAAAGCGTATCAAAACAAAGAAACCTGACGATCTCCGCGAAAGATTCACCAATCAAAGAAAAGAGTCAGAAATCAAATGCTCAGAATAAGCATCGAAGCATCATCAATGTGAAAATAAATCACAATTGGAAACTCAAGCGTATCCGCATATCACACAATAAACTTGCATAAGACTCAAATCTCAACAAGTAAAGGTGAATCACAAGTTTTGAATAAACAGATAAGCATGAATTATTTCCTAACATCAAATAAAAAAATTAACAAATTTTTATTGATTTTATAATTTTTATCATAAAAAAATATTAAAAAAATTAAGAGAAAAACTCTAAATTTAATAAGAAGAAAAAAAGATCAGGAGGTGCTAGGCAGAAACTCAAGGGTGTGCATTCAGTAAGATGAACACTAAGCTCAATCCAGAAGAGTCCATGAAGCAATTGTTAACAAGCAAAAGTTCCAAAAAAGAGAACAGTGACGGGTCATGGATGAGAGTGGTACGGTCCATCAAGTCATTGATCCATCATCACCTTCAAAAAATTTGTTTCTAAACTATTATCCAATTTTTATTAATTAAATTGAACAAAAGAAAAACAATTAAAAAAATAACAGAAATGGAAAAGGGGTTAGGGTTATCCTGTTTGTGAATTCCCAAATTCACGCGAAACAACTGAGAATTTCTCTTCTTCCTCACAAACCAGACGGTGCGATCTCTTCAACTCACTCACCTTCCACTACCGCGAAATCTCCTTTGCCTCAATTCTCCACCGTGTCGACTTGTCTGTCCTGTTTCCTGTTTCATTCATCTCTCTCCGCTGCAAACTTAACGATGTTCTCCGTCTCCTCTGGCTCAATCCACGACGTTCATCCTTCTCCAACACAGCTTCTCATCACTTCCGATCAGTGTTTCTTCGCTTCAACGATTCCGCTTCTCTGTGTTTCTATGCTTGAGTGTCGCAAATCGTTATTGTTTGCGTTACAGAAAGATGATGATGATGAATATTGTGATGCAAATCAAAATTTCCGAAACGGTGAAGTTGTTGATGTGCGTGTTGTTGCCAATGGTGATGATGAAGATGTACGATTTGTAGAGAAGCGTCGCGGTTAAGAAAGAATGAAGATGACGATGAATGAAGGTTCCACGGTGTGGAGATGTTGTTGTAACGTTGATTCAGAAGCAAAAGGTTGTTATGCAGAGAATTTCAGCGATGAGAGAGCGACGAAGGTGTGAAGAATTTTCAGAGATTTGGAGAAGATGAATGCTTGCTGAGATTGAAGGTGGTTCAGGAAGATGGAGTTCAGAGAGGGTTTTTTCTGTTGGCGATTCTTCAAAAAGTGAAGAATGAATCGTGAATTGGCGAGTTTCTGTTTTTACCGTATCTGTAGAGTAGAGATTTAGTTATAGTTGAATCCGATCTGAACAGTTGGATTGAATCGGTTAGTTATGGAATATATGGTGAGATTTGAACTTGAATTTTTCTGTTATTTGTCAATGGTGAGATATTGAATTGGTTATAGGGTTGGAAAAGTTAGTTAGAATATGTTAGATGAGCTGACACTGTTAGTTATTTTTGTTAGAGAGTTACAATTGAAAACAGTTAGCTGTAAGTTGGAAACCTATTAGTTCTGTTATTGGATATGTTTCTGTTAGAAAGTTAGAATTTTGGTTAGGATGGTTAGGATTACGAGCTAATTTTTTATTATGCAGGATCCAATTATTTTGGATTTTGTTTGGTTATTTGATGCAGGCAGCAACGACTTTTATTGTTGAATATGTGGACAGGTTCAAACGGACGACAAAGGGCTTGAAGCAAGTTTGCGGCTGGTTGGTGTTTGATTTTATACTTTCTGAATATTTTTCTGAACTGGATAATGGATGCAGGGCTAAAACAATTAATTTTTCTAAGTGTAAAAAGGATTGTGGTTAGTGAATCAACCATTAGTCGATAAAAAAAGTTTAATGTCAGGATTTGCTAGAGCAAAGTGGTTTAGAGGTGAGTTAATAGTTAGAGTTTAAGAACTTGGTTAAGAAACAGTTAAGGAATTAACTGTAAAAAAATGTTAAAGGTTTAGAGTTTAGAAAAGTAATTGTGGTTGACTGTAAAAAATGACATGAGAAAATCGTTTTGAACGGGTTAAGGGTTATTTGTTAAAACTGCAGGTCTACTATGTGGTGTAAGCTGGTTTACTATTAACATTGATCTGGTTTAGTGAGTGCAAGGGGGATAGTTTTTTTATTTTATTTTATTTTAGAGGAATTGGCTATTGTTTAGTGAACTGAATTGGAGCAACAGCAGGGCCACAGTTCTCTTTCATTCTATGCTTCTGTATGGATTTTCTTTATCATGAACAAGGCATTTGGATTTGAACAGAATTTAGCAAAAGCATATCGGTGACAAGATGATCATGAAGGCAAGATGATGAAGATGGGATTGAGATTATGTAATTTGTATTTTGTAACTTTGAAAATGTAATGAAAGGCTTTTCATTTGGTTGACTTGTAACAGATTAGTTTGGATGAATTTTGAATGTAGTTTGAAATGTTTGAATAACATTTGTTCTCTGAAATGGTATTTGGATGAACCATGGACTTGGATTTGTATTGGAAATGGTAATGATTAATGGAATCTTGAATGAATTGATTTGGTTATTCAAATGATGTTGAACGCTTTAATCTTGCACTCTTGGATTAATTCTTGACAAATCAATATTGGTGCCATAGAGAATCCATAAATTAAAACCTTGAATCATGATAATTGATCACTTAGCAAAATTGAATTCATAGCCACTTAAATGAACATATTACCACAACAACTTTAATGAGCAAAAACCAAATCAATTCGCTTTCTTGCTAAAACCCTTAGCTTCCATCCCAATTCCATATGAATTTGCCCTACAAGCAACAAGAAGTAAGCAATTGTGAGGACAACACTGCCTTGATCATAACTAATCCTCAACTTCCACTTTATGACTCTTAACTTGCATCTCAATCCTCAAAGATGTCTTGATTTGGTGAGCAAGATAATAGGAATGCCTTGAAGAACCCTTTGTTGGAGAAAGATTCGAAGTACAAAATAAAGCATGTTCATGATATGAAAAATCCAATGAACCTTAGTTAATGATGAGAAACCCTAATCCATGACTCTGGGTAAGGAAATAAACCTTAATCCCTGGCCTTGAATAAGTCTTGCTACTTGTTTTAAGTGAACAAATCTCCCATCTTTAACAATGTGAATCCACTTGATAAATTGAGTCAAAATGATCACTTTGACGAATTTTGAATGGAGCTTGGATTGACTTGAAAATATCAATGACAAATCCAAATCACCTTGCCTCTAATTTCAATTTCCCAACGTCAAGGTTATCTTGCAATTGAAGTAACAAGTATTTGATGAGAACTAAAAATTGTGTCGTTCAAAACAGGTCCACAATGTTGAAGGCGAGAAACTTGAGATGACCATAAGATCGAACCCTAACCCAATGATCCCCGGTTGAAGCATAATAGATGAAAAATCATGATCTTATGAAAAGTATACTGAATGAAGAAGCAGCTTAACACCAAAACCATAGTTCACAGTCTTCTCAGTTAGAATAATTGATGAAGGAATACATTGAACACTCTTGAATGGGAGGGATATCCTTGAAGCCACATAAACCCTAATTCCACACATTCACTTATAGAAGTAGAATCAGGAACCTCAAGCTTTATTTGATATGCACACCTCAAAAGAATATGAAAATCCTGGCATCGCACGCCCACTGAACTTTTGAACCCTTGTGCTTTATTGAATGCAAATGCATGTTATGTTAGTGTCGATTGAAACAACCGGTTGAAAATCATCAAAACAATGAAGTCTCCATCGAACGTCTTTTATCCCACATGTAGGGAAAGGTAAACATCGAGAAAACCTGAGAAGAGAGAAGTCACGGTCTTGCGACCGAGAGATCGGGTAAGGGAGTCTGTTACGCGAGGGGAAGGTATTAGCACCTCACGCGCCCGTAGTACTCTACGGTATCCACTCTTGTTATCTATCTTATGGGTGTGTTTAATCTATGCTTACTATCTACTATACTACTGGAGGGAAAATGCATGCAAAAGAAAGGAGAAAATAATGTAGGGAAAATAAAATTGTGCTCGCCTGGGCCCTACCCTAATGTCTACGTATCTGTTTTGAGGAATCAGAGCTACCGTAGTTCGGCTCATATATTTTTGTTTGTTTTGTGTTTTTTATGGACAATGTTAATTCCGCCTTCTGCCGCAGCTCGACCTTTGGAGACTTATGCATTAGCACAGAAGTAAACTAATCATGTCCTTACCTGAAAAGGGTTTTAGAGAAAAGGTGCTCGAGCGCACAAAAATGATTTGAATTGGTTTTGTATTTTTGTCGCCTTGAAAAAGGGTTTAGGTATGATTAGCATGTTTTCGATTTGCTAAGAAAAGAAGTTTTTGTTTTGAATGCACATGCAAAAGGGGAGAAAAGAGTCTAAGGGAGACTAACCTATTTCTAAACCTAATGTTATCATACAATGGTAGTCCTATGTCAAGGATGAAGGGGAAGTTTCTACCTACTGTTGGCATGCATGGTTTACAACCTAAGGTCTAACTTGCGTCCGAACAGAGCAAACGTATCCTAAGGGAACATGGTATGTACAAGGATAGAGCAACCAAGCCAACAAAAAGGAAGCACACCTAAAGGGATCCTGCCTAGGTTAACATGTCGAAGAAAAGTCTAAAAAAAACTATCCTATAGGGAACATGCGATGAGAGCGAAGTCGTGATCTCAATTGCTAAATTGAGTGACTCATCGACCGACAAGAAATAACAGAAAGCGATAAAATCCTATAGGGAGCATGCACTGAGAGCGAAGTCGTGATCTCAATTGCTAAATTGAGTGACTCATCGATCGACAAGGAAGTAAACAAACACAAGCACAACACATATAGAAAATGAAGTGCGAAATGCCTGCTACAAGTCTTTAAACAGCGACTTTGAGCGCACGCTCTTTATTTCCCACTTCTTATGATATCTAGAAAGTGGTAAAGTGTAGGAATAAAATAGAGTTGTGACGATACCGAACGGAGAAGGTCCGTTGCCTCTTCATAACCATGCAAGCCATAAGAGAACTCTACAAAAGCCTCCTTGAATTCCTTGATGAAAATTACGCTCTTAGCTAGCTTTGAAACTTCATGAAACTCCTCGCTCAAGTCTCTTTTATTTCAAAATATCACACAAAATTGGCATTAAAATCTACCAAAAACATGGATAAAATAACAAACAAAGTTAATAAAAGAAGTAAAATTCTATTCTAATATTTTTTGAATTTTTATCATGTGAACAATTAAGGAAAAAATCATGTAGAAATATCACACAAAATTATTTAAAAAATAATAGAAAGTATTCAGGGGGTAGCATTGCATAAAAAGGAAGTGGATAAAGCCCAATCAGAATGAACCCACAAGCAGTTTTTTGCAGGTACAAGGTATAACAAAAAGAAACACAGAATGGGCCTATGAAGATTTGGACCAACCCAAGTATATCATCACCGAAGCACTACCCTAATATAACATTACTTATTATTATGTGCAGCAAATTGTAAAGCATTAATAATAGAATAGAAAAAAAATTAAATAAACTAAATACAAAAAGGACATTTGAACAATGTCGTATTGATGGAAAAAAGATAGGGTTAAACCGTGTCCTCTGGGATTCTTTGAACCAGAGACTCCTTTCCTCTTCCTCGTCGGAGAACGCTGTGGTTCTTCTTCTCTTCTTCTAATATGACTCGCGGCGCCGAGCTTTCTTCGATTCGACTCCGTTTTCATCGCGACAACACCCTTCAATCACCACACCCCGCTGCTCATCCATCGTCATCCTCTAATCTCCAATCAAGATGCATTTCGTTCTCTGATTTTGTTTTGCAGACCAAGCGATAGGAACGAATAGAAAAATACATCAAATTCTAAGGGAAGATATTGAAGAGTGTTACCGGAGATAGCCCGGTGCTATTTCAGCGATGATAACATCAAGAACTCTTACGAACAAACAACTCCAGGTAAACTTTTATTCCAAAAGAATCCTCTTCTTCTCATGCTTTCATACTTAGTTGT